AGAGAGAGAGAGAGAGGGAGAGGGAGTAAAGTGGAAGTAAATAACAAAAAGGCACAATACCGTGACTGGAACGATACACAAATAACCCGCACATAAAAGACAGAAGCTTACGACGACGTTTCGGTCCGTCTTGGACCATTGACAAAGTCACACTAACAGAGGAGGAGCAGGACGGCTATATATAGGCAGGAAGAGGTGGAGGTAGTAGTAGTGGTAGTAGTAGTAGTAGTAGTAGTACAAGAATTGTATATAATACCGACAGGATGAAATGACACATGCACAACACCCGGGCATCCCCACCGTAGACGTTTCGCCATCCAGCCAGCCACTGGATGGCGAAACGTCCACAACAAAGACAACCAGACGCCGCACATGTGTCTAATTTCATCAGAGATGTAGTAGAAGAAGAAGTAGTAGTAGTGGTAGTGGTAGAAGTGGGAAATAAGGAAGACGAGCCAGTCAAATACAAAGGAAGGGGAGCACTGCAAGAGAGCTAGAAACCCACAGAGGGAGAGCAAGTGCACCTCGGTGCGCTTGCTCTCCCTCTGTGGGTTTCTAGCTCTCTTGCAGTGCTCCCCTTCCTTGTATTTGACTGGCTCGTCTTCCTTATTTCCCACTTCTACCACTACCACTACTACTACTTCTTCTTCTACTACATCTACTGATGAAATTAGACACATGTGCGGCGTCTGGTTGTCTTTGTTGTGGACGTTTCGCCATCCAGTGGCTGGCTGGATGGCGAAACGTCTACGGTGGGGATGCCCGGGTGTTGTGCATGTGTCATTTCATCCTGTCGGTATTATATACAATTCTTGTACTACTACTACTACTACTACTACCACTACTACTACCTCCACCTCTTCCTGCCTATATATAGCCGTCCTGCTCCTCCTCTGTTAGTGTGACTTTGTCAATGGTCCAAGACGGACCGAAACGTCGTCGTAAGCTTCTGTCTTTTATGTGCGGGTTATTTGTGTAAAGTGGAAGTGATTGTCGTGATTGGTCTCAATCTCGCTGAGATTCACGGCCATCCTAGGCTGGCTGTGTGTGTGTGTGTGTGTGTGTGTGTGTGTGTGTGTGTGTGTGTGTGTGTGTGTGTGTGTGTGTGTGTGTGTGCGCACGCGCTCCCCTATTTGTAGTTTCCAGGGATGGGGGGGGGTCGAGTCACGGTTCCTGGTCTGCACAACATTCTGTATCCGGCCTACAATCTCCTGCATAAATTTTCATTACTTCGTTTCTGTTGAGTTGAACTCTAGCAGCAATTTGTGTCACTCCTCACGTAGCTTGTAGAGATCCTCTTGTAGTTTCCCATACTGTCTTCATGTGAAGCGCTAAATCTACATGAGCGGGAGCAGTGGCAGTGGTCCTGTCTGCTGCTAATCACGGACGGGTCTTTGACCAGTTTGGTCAGGCTACTGAGACCTAAGACTGATCACTGGGATCCCAGACACTTCGTGTTGATAAGCTGACGTTTTCTCTTATATTTTTTATCTCACATTTAAAAATGCATGTTTCCAAACATGGTCTGTGTGAGAGGATTGTCTTTTTCAACTTCATCAATGCCCCTGAGTATCTTGTATATCGTGATCATGTCTCTCCTGCATTACCTTTTTAGCCAAGGAAAAAATTCCATCCAATTATCACGAGTCTGTCCTGGCAGCGTTTAATGCAATTGTCTCAACTAAAACCAGAGGTCTTGGAAGAATAAACTTTTCTCGGGAAGCAACTTCGAGGTTTATAATAAACAGAAGAAATAGTTTAGGGTCATGTGCTCTTAGTTGTTGCTATTTGTCGTTAGTTTTATTCGTCAGAGGAAAAACTCTGGCATAAACTTACTTTTTAAAGGAGGTGGACCGGTAAGCCAGCAGAAGGCCTCGGCCAGATTTTCAAAAGCTCCAGTTGCGGGTCATCATATGAAGACCCGCGTTAGGAAACACTTCTCCCGTTTGCTGACGAATCTTTCCTAATATAGACTCAGTAACTACGAGTGTCACTGTGGTGGACCACAGCGTCACTGTGGTGGACCACTGAATTACACCACGCTGCTGAAGAAACACGGTCTACCTACCTGGAGGATATTCTGGGGATCAACGTCCCTGCGGCCTGGTCTACGACCAGGCCTCCAGGTGGATTAGGGTCTCATCAACTAGTCTGTTACTGCTGGCCGCACGTAGTCCAACGTACGAACCACAGCCCGTTTGATCCGGCACTGACTTTATGTATCCGTCCAGCTCCCTCTTGAAGACAACCAGGGGTCTATTGGTAATTCCCCTTATGACTGGTGGGACGCTGTTGAACAGTCTTGGGCCCCGGGTACTTATGGTGTTTTCTCTCAGTGTACTAATGGTCAGCACAAGTCTTTACAAACGAAAAATCCTGGACTTGGCACTTGAAGCACCACGAGCTCTGGCGCATTTGCCTGTAAACAGCCAAGTGTTGAGTCGAGGGTGGTGGAGAAAAGAATTGTTCGTCATTCATGTTGTGCAGTTTAATTTTGATGTTGACGATGTCAATAACAGAAGCAGCAACAGCAGCATCAGCAGCAACAGCAGCAACAGCAGCAACAGCAGCAACATCATCACCAACGTAAAAAAAATTCAACACGAGCATTTCTCTGGTCTTGTAACAGAAAAAAAAACACGAAAATACACACGCACACAAAAGCACGAAAGTTAATAAAGCAAAATAATTAAAAAAAGTATTTCCTAAATTAAATAATTATTATAAACATTAGTAACTAATTTACAAACACAATCTCTCTTAGCAAGAGCAACATGTAATTCGCGGAAGCTTAATAACAGCAACTGTTTATGTAAATTTTTTTTGCAAGTGCCATCAGTGGCGGGGTTACGAGCGGCTGGCACTCGCCCCCAAATGGCCCAGCAATTTAGGGAAACACTGGCGAAGGTTCCTGCCTGCTCTTCGGGAGCATCCAAGCGTGGTCACCCACTCAAGTATTATCAAGGCTGAGTGTGCCAACTTTATAAGTGTTGCAGCTTAGGAGAGGAATATATATTTTTTGTGTAGACTTGCCTGAGAGTTTGTTATTGTCTCACTGTGGACTGGGAGAATGAAGAAAGCATGAGGGGAGAGGGAGGGGACAGAGGAGGAAGCGCTACACCCTTACGCCCCTGAGATGGTGAGATGCTCTTGATGTAGGGGATTGGATCTGTGCTCCAGTTCCCTGAATACCTTTCATCTCCCCCTCCACATGCACTGTATAATCCAACCGGTTTAGCGCTCTCCCATGATTATAATAATTATGATAATGCACCCTTGCGGCCATACAGCTCCTGGAACCTGGGAGATGAACAGGATTGATCTGAAGAAGAGGATCCTTGAACCTTGATCCTTGAACTAAACATTGACAAAACCTACTTCATTCAGTTTGGTAACAGAGCTACAGATGTCCCTCTTAACATAATGATAAATGGATCACCTATCACAAAACTAACAGAGGGAAAATTCTTAGGAATCCACCTTGATAATAGACTCAAATTTCATACACATATACATCAAATTTCTAAGAAAATTTCCAAGACTGTAGGCATACTATCGAAGATACGGTACTATGTTCCACAGTCAGCCCTCCTGGCCCTATATCACTCTCTTATTTACCCCTATCTCACCTATGGAATTTGTGCATGGGGCTCAACAACAATTAACCATCTCAGACCACTAATTACCCAACAAAAGGCTGCAGTTAGAATGATAAAAAAATTTTCTCCTACAGGCAGCACACTCCACCAATATTCAATCACTAAACCTACTCCCATACAAAACATCCATACTTATTACTGCACCTATTACTTACATAGAAACCCCTTAACTCTGATATTAACCCTCCCCTCAAACATCTCCTTCCCAACCTCAACAGAACACATGACCAAAACACAAGGCACAGATCACTCTTGATGTTCCTCGTGTCCATCTCACACTATGCAAAAAACTCAATGCACATAAAAGGCCCTAAAATCTGGAATTCATTACCTGTAAATATAAAAGAAAACAAAACCCTGTTTATAAATTCAAGTCTCTTCTCAAAGATTCCCTTACTCACCCAAAACCAAATAAATACTGAATAACTGAACTTTTATAAATTGTATATCTTAAATTTTTTCTCACAATTATATCACATAAATGTTAAACCTAAAACCCAATCTAACTTATTATTTTTTAAATACACTACCTAACAGAATCACTACTAACTGAATGCAACCATATGACCTGTCTTTGTAATACTCACTTGTGCTTTATAGTTATCTGTTTACATTAATGTTTTATCACTGATTTCATCATTGCTTAGTAGCAGCGCTGTATAGTCCTTGTGGCTTAGCGCTTCTTTTTGATTATAATAATAATAATAATCATTGCTTAGTTAATCTTAAGTTAATTTTAAGCCAGCCCGTAATGCTATGCATAGTATAAGTGGCTTTGGCATACTGCTCTTATCTGTATTTTTTTGTACCTCTGTATGTGTGCACAAATTGGAAATAAATAAATAAATAAATAAATAAATAAAAAGAGTCCCTCACCGGCAACAAGGTACCCCTGTAAGAAGAGGAATTTGCAGAAAAAAAGGGAAAAATACTGAGTAGGGAGGTGAGGTAGAGATGCAATAAGAAGAGTGTAAATAACTCACCGAACGCAGGGTTCAAACCTATGGCACATCAGTGGACCGGAATGGTACAGTGGACAACGTACTGACCTGCTAGTTTTAGGACTGGCTTTCCATGGAATTAATCTTTCCATTCTGTGTAGGATATAGAGAAGGGAAAAGATGGGAAGAAAGCATCTTGGGGGTTAGTTGGGGAAGGTGGGTGATGAGATACTGTGAAGGTGGGGAGGTGGGGAGGAAGAGTGAGGCGGGATAAAAGAAAAGGAGAGTGTTTAGAAGACTGAGAGGAGGATGACAGCAGAGGTCAAGAAGACACAAGAAAAAAACTGATGAATATTCCTAAAAATAACGTATTTTTTTATATTATTTCTGTTTTTGCTAGATATTCATTTGACCCTTAGTAAATTCCACTTTTTAGAAGTATCAGCACTCAATTCCAGGAGAGTGTTGGCACTTAGTTCCAAGGAGAGTGTCAGCACTCGGTTCCAGAGAGTGTCAGCACTCGGCACTAAAGTTCTTCTGGTGTGATTCTCTCGTTTTCGGGAAATAAATACAAAAGTGTCAGAGATTCCTCAAAATTCATTAAGATTTTGTAGCAAAAACAGAGAAGTATAATAAAATACTGGCATAGAAATACTTTTATGAAAGTAATGACATTGTAGACATAACTGATGCTTAGCTGAACAGAGGAAAATAAAGTTTGTCTAGTTAATAATGGTAGAAATACCCACAGATGTTAGGTAAATGACACATTAGTTGCATCTGTGTCCATTTACATAAGTATTTCTAACCGAGTATTGTATTTCTGGATAATTTAATATGAATAAATCTAGAAAAAATAAAACTGGCGATGGCATCATGCTGATTAAAAAATATATATATATATATAATTAAAACATTAAACTCTGCAGAAAATAGAAAGCCTCTCCAAATTCACTGAAATAAGAGAATGAATATCACGAACAGTTTGAGTAATTTACCATCCAGGTGCTCAGTTACCCGAAGTGAACTATCAGCGGAAAGTGATTATCGTCGGTGATTTTAATTGGCTGATATCAACTTGAAGATGAACCTGTGAGGCAGAGCAATGAGTCAGTTGGCTGAGGAGTCCACCCGGGATGTAAACAACTCAAGAGCGTAACATCTCTACTGCAGAATATATGTCAGGCTGGACAGCCAGTATGGTGTTACCAGTAGTGTGAAGGACACTTCTCGTCACGAGAGTCTTTCTCAGTTATACGAAGAAGCAACTCGGGGTGAAATGTTTCCTCAAATGTCTCTATCAATATATGCCTTTTTCCATATATACTTCAGTGCTGGATAATGAAAGTTCAGTGTCAGTGCGTTTCAAGGATGTTTGAGGAGGCTGTAGCTGGACGGATCATGTGACTCGTTATGTTCAGGTACCTCTGGAGGAAGTGCAGCTGACTGATGAGTGATGGTGAATATTTTTGCTTTCTCAGGGTTACCACAGCATGCTAGAGAACCATAGCATTCTAGAGAACCATAGCATTCTAGAGAACCACAGCATGCTAGAGAACCACAGCATGCTAGAGAATCACAGCATGCTAGAGAACCACAGCATGCTAGAGAATCACAGCATTCTAGAGAACCACAGCATGCTAGAGAACCACAGCATTCTAGAGAACCACAGCATGCTAGAGAACCACACCATGCTAGAGAACCATAGCATTCTAGAGAACCACAGCATGCTAGAGAACCACACCATACTAGAGAATCACACCATGCTAGAGAACCACACCATGCTAGAGAACCACACCATGCTAGAGAACCACATCCATACTAGAAAACAACCATGTGTTCAAAACAGAAATGAAAGAACTGAACCAAATAGCCACCGTGCTCTTGGAAATACAGAAATCACAAATGAAACCGCATCACCAATTACAGAAAACACAAAACCCTAGTATAAACAATCCTAAATTATCTACATTAATTTAAACTTTCGTTTTTTTTTAAGACAACAGGGGTTCATTTACCGTGTTAACGAAAAAAACACAAAAAAAAATGCATAAAACTTGTGCATTTTTTATGTATATGCATTTTTTCCCGGACCAGCGCGAGATTGTGCTCTGCCTCCATGCAGAATTCACGCCTTTTAATCTGCAAAGAGTATTTTCAGGAAATTTTTGAGAAGCGCCACTTGCCGCGGCGGAGCATCGCGGAAACGTTTTACTAAATATCACCCTAAGTGTTTACTGGAATATTTTTTTCCCGGCGACAGAATTAATAACTGATACTTGTTAACTCATTATACAATACAAAATTTGCCTGAAAAAAAAATTGCGAATGTTTTCCTTCCCCAATCATAATTTACTTTTTCTCCTCAGCCGGGGAAAACAGTTTTAGTACGACGTTGTTCCCACACGCCTCTTGTTCACGCACTCAGGATGGATAAGGATTTTTTCCTTATCCCCCTACTCTTTCCCTCATCCTCTTCACTTTCTAGACACTTATACTGCTTCTTCTTCCATCCTCTCTTCGTATTTCCTCTTTCTCTCTAGGAAAGCACTGGTTTGGCAATAGAGTTGTGGATGAGTGGAACAAACTCTCGAGTACCGTCATAGAAGCTAAAACGTTGTGTAGTTTTGAAAATAGGTTAGATAAATACATGACTGGGTGTGAGTTGGACCTGACTAGCTTGTGCTACAAGGTCAGATGCCGTGCTACTTTCTTAAGTGAATGTGACCTGATCTGACTAGGTTGGGGCATTCGCTTGGGTCGGTGGGGGACTCGGGCCTGCCTCGCATAGGCCAGTAGGCCTGCTGCAGTGTTCCTTCTTTATGTTCTTTACGAACAAGAAATGTCCAACACTTGCATATCTTTGTAATAATGTTGGTAGAATTACCGACAATATGTTAGGTAAAAGGTCTCAAGAGCAACTAACGTGACATTTTATTGTGGCAACGTTTCGCTCTACAGGAGCTTGACAAAGCTCCTGGAGAGCGAAACGTTGCCACAACTGTCACATTAGTTCCACTTATAGATATCTTTACTGTGAAAATAATTTACCTACAGAAGCGACCTCTATAGTGGAATACAGATAACCAGATGTTGCAAACATGTATTATTCTAGTACCACAAAAAAGGTCTTTAACGTGCCTTCTCTAAGCTGCCTGCCCACCTACCTGCCTGCCCACCCACCTGCCTGCCCACCCACCTGCCTGCCCACCTGCCTGTCTGCCTGCCAACTGTCTTCCCCTGAATACTTCTAACACAGACAGGCTCTTATTGCATGTATTCAAATTACACTACATATAAATCTATATATACACATAAATACAAACATCTAACGTTAACTGCCATTGTGATGTAGAGAACTAGAGTATCGGGTCTGTCTGGCTTCCTGGGAGGCTGGTTAGTCATGGGGTCGAGTCTCGGTTAGTCGTATTATTGCTTATGTTTTAAAATCCCTCGGTTCCACGGTCAGTCGTATTATTGTTATGTTTTAAAATCCCTCGGTTCCATGGTTGTTTTACACACACAAACAAACACCACACACACCACACAAAAAACACACACCACAGTGAAGACACAGATGAAATCACAGGATGTTGGGAAGTTTTTTTCGCCGCAGAGTAGCAGTAAGGGAATTTTGGGAAGCGTTATGGGGGGCAGGACCCAAACATGCTTTAACAGGGGTATGAAAAGCTCAGGCTCGGGGGAAAGTGACCTAGTAGCGATCAGTGAAGAGGCGGGGCCAGGGGTCGGACTCGCCCCCCGCACCTCAACTAGGGGGCAAAACTAGGTGGTACACACACACACACACAAAAACCCATCATACACACACACAACACTTTCACACACACACACAAAAATAATACACCACACACACATACACAAAAACACACACACACACACATACAAACACACACACATACACAACACAACACAACATACTAACACACACACACACAACCACAACAACACGCACACAAACCCCCACACACAACACAAACACACCACACACCCCACAACCACACACCTACTCACACAACAACATACACACACACACACACACACACCAACACAACATCACACCCCCACACACCACACACAACACACACTAATCCCAAACACACACAATACACACACAACCAACACAACACACACAAACATACACACACACACACACAACGGCACCTAACACACACACACACACCCCCAAACACACCACACTACATACACACACCAAACATACAACACACACACACACACACACACATAATAACACCACACCACCACACCCCAACACACACACACAAATACATACACACACACAACCACGTGTTGTGTGTGTGTGTGTTTTTGGGGGGTTTTTGAGGGAAAAGAAGGGCTTTAGATTAAAGGAAAAAAGAGTACTTTTGCTTGTTCAGGGATTTATGCTTACAAAACATGAAAATCAAACATACAAATAAAAACTAAAACAAATACAAACATAAAATCAAACAACAAACAAATACAAACATCAAATATAAACTTACAAACAAATAAAACATAAAAATATAACATAAAAACAAATACAAACATACAAATTAAAAATACAAAAAATACAAACTTAAAAATTAAACATAAAAAACAAATACAAACATAAAAATATAAAAACAAACAAATAAAAACAAAATAAAATTTTCCTTTTTTTTTTAAATTTTTTACGTGTAGGCAAAATTTAAAAAATCGTTTTTTTTATTTTTTTTTCGAGAAAAAAAAATTAAAAAAACACCATTCCTTTTCTTAACACATGTAAGTTTTTTACACTCTTTCATTTTCATGTTAACGACGTCGTAAAAATGAATTTATGTGACGTAAATCCAAACATTTCGTTAGACTGTTTCTTGGAAATACATAATTTTTTTTTTATTGTCTTAGAAAACATTCAGTATTAATGATTTTTAGTCTTGTTGCCATTTTTTCCCCCCCTTTTCAGAGTTTCGATCAGCGAGCGAAAGGTGGTCCTGGTGGAAAAATGATTCAGAAACGTGTGTTTTTCTTCAGAGTTGTCGGCAGTACGATGTCTGGAGTCCAGGTGCTTCCAGTTTTATACGCTCGCTTCTTCCTTTATTGAGGCTTCGTACTCTGTTGCGTGCACTGATGTTCTGTTGTTGAAGCCTCGCTTTCTGTTGTGAGAACTGTTATTCTATTCTTGAAGCCTCACAATCTGTTGTGGGGACTGTTATTCTATTCTTGAAGCCTCACAATCTGTTGTGGGGACTGTTATTCTATTCTTGAAGCCTCACAATCTGTTGTGGGGACTGTTATTCTATTCTTGAAGCCTCACGAATCTGTTGTGGGGACTGTTATTCTATTCTTGAAGCCTCACAATCTGTTGTGGGGACTGTTATTCTATTCTTGAAGCCTCACCATCTGTTGTGGGGACTGTTATTACTATTCTTGAAGCCTCACAGTTGTTGTGGGGGGCTGTTATTCTATTCTTGAAGCCTCACAATCTGTTGTGGGACTGTTATTACTTTCTTGAAGCCTCACAGTCTGTTGTGGGGACTGTTATTCTATTCTTGAAGCCTCACAATCTGTTGTGGGGACTGTTATTCTATTCTTGAAGCCTCACAATCTGTTGTGGGGACTGTTATTACTATTCTTGAAGCCTCACAATCTGTTGTGGGGACTGTTATTACTTTTTTGAAGCCTCACAATCTGTTTTTGGGGACTGTTATTACTATTCTTGAAGCCTCACAATCTGTTGTGGGGACTGTTATTCTATTCTTGAAGCCTCACAATCTGTTGTGGGGACTGTTATTCTATTCTTGAAGCCTCACAATCTGTTGTGGGGACTGTTATTCTATTCTTGAAGCCTCACAATCTGTTGTGGGGACTGTTATTACTATTCTTGAAGCTCACAGTCTGTTGTGGGGCTGTTTATTCTATTCTTGAAGCCTCACAATCTGTTATGGGGACTGTTATTCTATTCTTGAAGCCTCACAATCTGTTGTGGGGACTGTTATTCTATTCTTGAAGCCTCACAATCTGTTGTGGGGACTGTTATTACTATTCTTGAAGCCTCACAATTGTTGTGGGGACTGTTATTCTATTTTGAAGCCTCACAATCTGTTGTGGGGACTGTTATTCTATTCTTGAAGCCTCACAATCTGTTGTGGGGACTGTTATTACTATTCTTGAAGCCTCACAATCTGTTGTGGGGACTGTTATTCTATTCTTGAAGCCTCACAATCTGTTGTGGGGACTGTTATTCTATTCTTGAAGCCTCACAATCTGTTGTGGGGACTGTTTTATTATTTTGAAGCCTCACAATCTGTTGTGGGGACTGTTATTCTATTCTTGAAGCCTCACAATCTGTTATGGGGACTGTTATTACTATTCTTGAAGCCTCGCAATCTGTTGTGGGGACTGTTATTCTATTCTTGAAGCCTCACAATCTGTTGTGGGGACTTTATTCTATTCTGAAGCCTCACATTGTTGTGGGGACTGTTTTTACTATTCTTGAAGCCTCACAATCTGTTGTGGGGACTGGTTTTTCTATTCTTGAAAACCTCACAATCTGTTGTGGGGACTGTTATTTATTCTTGAAGCCTCACAATCTGTTGTGGGGGGCTGTTTTTTACTATTCTTGAAGCCTCACAATCTGTTGTGGGGACTGTTATTCTATTCTTGAAGCCTCACAATCTGTTGTGGGGACTGTTATTCTATTCTTGAAGCCTCACAATCTGTTGTGGGGACTGTTATTACTATTCTTGAAGCCTACAATTGTTGTGGGACTGTTATTCTATTCTTGAAGCCTCACAATCTGTTGTGGGGACTGTTATTCTATTCTTGAAGCCTCACAATCTGTTTTTGGGGATGTTATTCTATTTTGAAGCCTCACAATCTGTTATGGGACTGTTTATTACTATTCTTGAAGCCTCCCAATCTGTTGTGGGGACTGTTATTCTAT